GGTCTAACCCAGCAGCCTCCCCAGGCAATCCCAGGAAACCTGTGCTAGGCTGGGTCTAACCCCTGTGCTCTGCTTCTCCCCAGCCAGGCTGAGAGAGGCACGGGCAGCCAAGGAACCCGTGTGGGGCTCCCCACCAACCTGGCTGCTCTGTGGGGCCAGGGAAGCCCTTGTGGTACAGCCTTAGACTGAATTAACTCCCTTCCACTAATTAGCACCTCCCGAAGTACAGGGTAAATCAAAGCAGTCGTGGGTTAGAATGGCCTAGGGTAAACGGAGTTATGATTTAGACTGAATTGGTGCAGCACAGGCCAAAGTGCTCAGAACAACTGCTCGGATTCGATCCGAGTTCCTGCTACTTTATTAACTTAAATTAGCTATTCCCAAACACAGCCTAAATAAGGACAGGATCCCTCCCTTCCCTGGGAGGCTTTGAGGATGCTAATGAGCCCTGCAGCATCAGCTGCCTGGCCCTATTCTGCTGCTAACAACACTCTTGTTTATAAGGTAATTAATTTACAGGTTACTTCTAATCCAAACGCTTTGGAGTCCTAGATTCTTTTCTACCACTTACACCTGGAATATTAGCAATGACTAGCAGGATGAGTTTTTTTAACTATGCTCCTTTAAGTAAGTATCCACAGCTTATTTTCCAGATGCTGTGGAGTTAACAGCTCCTTTTAGTTATTTAAAAAACTTATTTTTGTGACAGTATTATACTTAAAATTCTACTGCTACACTAAATACTATGGGCACAGAACTAGAGGTGTTTCATGCACCTAACTAGACTCCTCACCCACCAAAAGTGAATTCTGAATTCAGACAGGTTAGGACTGTTAGGGATAACTTCTATTTCCATCCCCTCTTTTCTATGTAACTCCAGCAGAACATCACTTGGTGGGCAGCGGATCCTTGCTGGATCTAATGCAGCCCAGGCACTTCCTAAATGTAGGCTTTAGGGTCATTTCCAGCAGGATGCACAGAAATCTGACTGATGGGGCTGCACTCTGAAAACTGCCCCCATGGGGAGCTGTATTTTGAATGCCCTGACAGAGCAGAGATCAATGTGCTGCTGAGTTAATCTCTCCACCAGCAGCTGCACAACTCCTTCCCTGGCCTTGGCCACAGATCCCAGGGTTACCCAAACACTGACCCATCAGACAGGGAAACTGAGGCAGCAAAGGCTCTGTCTCCTCAGATCCCACATGCATCCCCAGTGCTGGCAGAGGTGGAAGTGCGCTGTAGGCTGTGCTCAACTCCCTGTTTTCTTACAGCAGATTGTCCTGACACGGGTTTTCCTTGGATCACAGGATATGATGAGAGAACTTATCATTTAAGAAGTTAAGAGCACCTTAATCAAAGTAATTACTGAAACTGATCTGATTGGGAAGTAATTTATTTAGAAAAAGTTAGGACTGCCAACTGGGAAGCTCCGACCCAACCCCTGAGCTGATTGCTTTAGATGTGGATGATTTCCCACTTAATTTTTCAAGTGCTATTGAAAATGTCTTCATCTGTGAATGTCAAATATTTATTTTTCCAAAACACTAAATAATGGCCATCCAGGCATCTCAACACGTAAACAACATGTTAGATGGGCTTTCAAGCAGCCGGCTGTACGTGAGTTTCTCCGAAGCAATCGGAAGACTGCACCTCACTGCCCTGCAGGGAATTCCCCCGGGATGCAGCTCTGGGAGGGCTGGCACTGCCACATCCTGCCTGGGAGAGCTCCTCTTAAACCAGCTGCTCAGGGCTTCTTCTTCCCTCCCAGGATCCCAGCAGTGATTCCACGTGAACAGCCTGCCCCCTGAAAATCACAACCCACCGTGGATTTGATTAATCAGCTCTGCACTTGTGGTGCATATTTGCATTTTCTGAAGATTTAATTGGGATGTACAAACAGCAAATCGCAGAATCCTAGAACGGTTTGGGTTGGGAGGGACCTTAAAGCTGATTCTGTTCCACGCCCTGCCATGGCAGGGACACCTTCCTCTATCCCAGGGTGCTCCCAGCCCCAGTGTCCAGCCTGGCCTTGGGCACTGCCAGGGATCCAGGGGCAGCCACAGCTGCTCTGGGCACCCTGTGCCAGGGCCTCACCCCCTCCCAGCCAGGAATTCCTTCCCAAAATCCCATCCAGCCCTGCCCTGTGGCAGTGGGAGCCATTCCCTGTGTCCCTCCATCCCTTGTAAAGGGTCTCTCTCTATCCTTGCCAGCTCCTTCAGGTCCTGGAAGGCCACAGTGAGATCACCCTGAAGTTCTCCTCTCCAGGCTGAACAATCCAATTCTGCCAGGCTGCCCCCAGAGCAGAGCTGCTCCAGCCCCTGATCACCTCGGTGGTCTCCTCTGGACTCAGTCCAGCAGGTCCATGTCCCTCCTGTGCTGGGAGCAGCACCCCAGGAACTTTTCAGACACAACAGACAAAAACCAACCTCCTCTTTGAGACGTACAAGAGGTGCTGACAGCGATTCAGGGGCCAGCAAATGACGGGATTTCAGTCAGACTTGGTCCTTTACTCTCCGAGGAGTAGGAATCACCACGTCTGATCCACTCTCAGTGGTGAATGAGAAAAGCACTTGTGGAGAGGAACACTCCCGAGGAATTAAGGAATAAGGATGCAGCCACAGAGGGAGCGGGTGCCAGGGGCAGCCTTTCAGTCTGGGATGATCTCAGTGGTCCTGCAGCCACATCACCAAAGTCCAAACCCCAGCACACATCCCTAGGGAACAGGCTTCCCTAGGGACACCAGGCTGAAAGCAGAGGGGGCAGAACTTGGACGGGGTTTGGACAGGGCACAGCTGCACACCCAAAACCTGGAAAAGGCACTTTTAGGGTTGTATGATTACTCATCCAGCTGTGATCCTGAAATGATCACGACGATGCTCTGGAACCCCAAGGCACTGTTCCAAAAGGACAAGAAGTCTCAAGCTCCTCCCAGGGCACACACATGTCTAGAAATGCACAGGGATTTTAAATTTATGTCAAATTCCAGCCCTACTTCATGCATCCTGCTTTTACAGACTCCCAGAATGGCTGAGGTAGGAAGGGAACTCTGGAGTTTCTCTCGTGCAATCCCCCTGCTCAAGCTTTTCTTGCAAGTTCTTGCCAAAATAGTTCAGCTTGACTTTCAGAATGGTTTTTACAAAAATGTGCAAGTGCCCCAAGTTGTTCTTCCTCTTACACCTGTGGAAAAGTTTCTTCCACAGAAATATGAAATGAATACTGTGCACAGAAAATCTGTCAAAGGAGCATATGTGGTTCCCAAAGTCTGCAAACACGATTTCTGTTGGTGTCAACCTCACGGCATTACAAGAGATCAAAGAAGAGCCAATGCAGGATGGAAAAACTTGGGAAGGTGAAGACTCAGTTTCCTTTTGAATTCTGACAACTTTTTCTGGTTTTTTAACTGCTTAATGCTACTGAGCCTCTGACAGTGTCACATCCTTGTGCTGGGGAATCACCACCCTGGGAGGGGTGCAAGGCTGGGGATGGAAAATCACCTTTCAATCATGAGATGCACGTACGGCCCCAGCATATGTGGAATGTTTACATCCTTAGGAAAACAATCCAACTGCCCCACTCAATCTCCGGGGCAGACTGACAGGGGAATTTTTCTTTAATAAAGAACTTTGATGGAACAGGAATGTCAGCTTTAGTGCACGCTGCACTGACTGGAACAGGATCAAAACTAAGTTCCACACGATGTTTTCAGGGGAAAAGAGGAGAATGTTTCATGGAATTTAAGTCGGGATTTGGCTTGCATCCTAGAACATATATCTTGTTATGAAAACTGCTGAAACACTTTTAAGTGGGCAAGCCATAAGTGTCCTTGGAGCTATCCAGTCAACTGGAAGTCACAGAGGCAGAACCTCCTAAAGTAGGAAAGCCTGAAATTGGGAGGGGGGGTGCGGGAGGGGCAAGTAATCTTGGAATCCTATCTGTTATCCAGAACGGCTCCCTTGTGCCTACAGCATGAAGTAGTTACAACTTGTTTTCTGCTATTGTCACAGATCCAGGACGTTACTCTGGCTAAATCATAATCTCTTCCTGCCTCAGTTCATCCATGTGCAAACCTGGTTCGCTAACTCTTACCTTAATGTGTCATGGGGCTTAATTAATAACACTTAGGTCTTTTAAGTCCTCTACAAACATTAACTACTTCTTGTAACAACTCTCCAAGGTATTATTATCCCCATTTTACTCATGGAGAAACGGCAAAAGAGGTTGTCACTTGCCCAAGGCAACAGAGTAATAGTTATACTTGGAGATCCTCTTCGCGGGCTACTCTAACAGTGGAAACATATCAACAAAGGCAAAGACAATAACGACTAACTCGAAATCACTTTTAAAAGCGCACCACGAGCATCTAGAAGACGACGGAAAATCCCTCCCAGAAACAATAGGCTTGGGACCAGAAAAAGCACCACAACTGTCAGCACAGAGAACGAAGCACCCTGGACAGACCTAGGCTCGAGCTCACCCAAACAGCCTCACGCAGACAGCCAGACCTGTCCTCTCGAGCGCTCTTAAGCACCATAAAATTGAGCAACAGGCTCGTACGGTGCTCTCCAGTAACACCGAGCGAGCAGATAATCAATGTGGTATGCAGCACGCTAATTCCTTCCGCCGCGTTCCCAGCGGGGACCGGGAATGCCAATAACGGCCCTGGACGGCGGGGGTCCCGCACGGTGCCGACAAAGTTGGTGTCCCCCGCGCTGACATCCCCGCGGCCGCCGCCGGGAGCCCCGGCCGGGCAGCGCGGAGCCCGGCGCCCGCCCCCGCCGAGCCCGTCCCGCTGCCCCCGGGGCCGCTGACAGGCGCGTCCAGCGCTGCCGCCCCGGCGGCGACAACACCGGCAGCAACAGGCGCGTCCTGCGCGGGACCCGCGCGGGCGCTCAGTCGCCATTTCCCGCCTACCGACCCGCTGCACCGCACCGAGGGACCCGGATGGCAGCGGGGCCGCCGCGCAGGCGCGCCCGGCCGGGGGAGGGGGCCGGGCCGGGGCAGGCCGGGAAGGAGGGAACGGGGCCTGGCGCGGCGGCGGCGGTGCCGGAGCCGCCGGGAGAGGGACCGGCAGCGGTGCCCAGCGCCCGCGGTGCTCGGCGGAGGAGGCGCGGTCGCTCCGGTGCCCTGGCGCCGGGCAGGGCCGAGGCGCCGGGCCGGGAGGTGAGGGGAGAAGGGAGAGGGGGAGCTCTGAGGGGACCGCGGGGGCGCGAGCGGGAGCGAGTCCCGGCCGTGCCCGCGGCTCCCGGCCCTGCCCGCGGCTCCCGGCCCTTCCGGCGCTCCCCGGGAGCAGCGGCAGCGCCGGCAGGACTCGCCGCGGACGGACGGACGGACGGACGGACGGGCGGACGGCGCAGCCCCCGCCGGCCGCCCCTTCCCGCGCTCCCCCGGGCACCGCCGGCCGCTCCCCGGTCCCGGCCCGGCCGGCTCGCCCTCCGTCCCATTCCCGAAGCGTAGGGCAGGCTGGCTTGCGGTTTCGGTTGCTGTTTTAAGTCGCCTGTGGAGTGTGTTGTGAAGTTTTATTTCCGCTTTCTCTTTTTTTTTTTTTTTTTTTTTTTTCTAGGCAGCCTCTTTGTGTGGGAAATGCTGAGGATGCTGCGTGCTTTATTATTTGAAGAGCTTAATGAAGCAGCTTGGCCATCTCTTGCAGTATAGGAGCATGTAGTGAGGTTACATTTCTCATCTCAGTGCTACTGAACTTGGGTATCTTAATTTTTCTCTTGATGATCACTTCTACTGACCAGTCTTGGTAACAGAAATCAGTTCTCGGGTTCAGCTGTGTTGTGACAGGATAACATCTCAAGGTACTGCCCAGAGTGGAAGGTTTTTACAGGAGTATCTGGCATCCTCTAATTTAGCAGTGAAGAAACTTACACGGGTGTTGTGTTTCCTGGTACCTGTTGACTCCCTGCTTGGCTTTTGAACGTGGATCAGATTATAGAAGTCCCAGCTCTCTAGTCACCTAAAATATTTATTGGCTTGTTAAAGAGAAGAACATCTGCTGCTGTGAAGCCAAGATTTGTTTTAGAATTGTCACTGGACTCTACTAGTCTGTCTGGACACTATAAAGCTAATTTTACCATAGAAAAGAGGTAGTAGAAACAGTGGAAACTCATTCAGAACAGGGAACCATATTCCTTTAGAATTCCATTCAAGTATTTCTTGTGAATATTTTGTGAATGATCAGCTGTGAAAAAGGTTAGTTTGGGCATGTTGGAGCCTCATTAAGATGCTTTGGCAGTCCCTGAGGAGGAACCTGTATGGCAGGATAACTGTGTGATGTCTCACACTGTTGCCCCAAAAGGACAGTCGCTGATACTTAGAAAGTGGGAGTTTTGGGAAATGGTGGGTGGAAATACCCTCTCAAGCCATGTAATTAAAATGAAACGAGCGGCCAGAGGAGCTGATCCAGCAAGATTCAAAACAAGCAGGTATTTGTGTGAGCACCAGCACGGCCAAAAACACTGACAAGAGATTAAACATGTGACTCAGGTTCAAACTGATCTTTATTGCAATGAGAACTGCCCTTTTCTGTGTAACAGGATATCAAAATTTGCTTTTCACAGTGCCTTGTGCTCTCCTGGAGTTCCCTGGTGCTGAATTAGGGAGAAAGGGCTGGACTGGCAGGAAAGGGAATATGGCAAATCATCTTGCTGATGGTGTTGCTGTGCAGGGAGGAGTTCAGAGGTCCCAGGGGGACACGGAGCACAGCCTCAGCTCTCTGTGGGCAGTGTGAAAACCCTGTGTTGGCACACGGGGCCTTCAGAGCTCGGAGTGTGTGTGTTTGGGCCAAAGAACAGGCTGAGCTGGCAGCAGTGGGCTTCCCCTGGCCAGAGGATCTGGGCTCCTGAGACAGTCAAGGAGCACGTTTGCTTCACAGAGACACTGGAGGGGAAATGTGCACTTGTCAGAGCACTGCCCATTCCTGCAGTGGGATCCCAGCTGCTCCTTGAAGGCTGTTCCTCCGAGTTTAGGATTTCCTCCCAGCTCTGTCCCCTGAGCCTTGCAGAGCCCTTAGCTCTGTGTTTATGCACCATATAAAGTGATGTGCTCCAGAGTGAGCAGAGCTCATGTGGGGCAGGTTTTTGCAGCATCTGCAGCTCAGGGCTGGGTGGGGTTTATTCCAGTTCCACTTTCAGTTTAACTTCTGGCACTTCTCAGCAAATTCAGGAGTCTTCTTTGGGTTTGTATGTTACTATTGCCCATTTGCAGTGTTTGCTGTCCCTGTTGCCTTTCTGAAGGGGATCAGTTCCACGGGATTGGTGGCCAGAGCTGAGAGAAGCAGCTCCCAGGCTGTGCTGCTGCTCCGTCCCCGGCGTCTGGCAGCCAGTCTGTCCAGCAGCAGCTCCAGACTCGCTGTTCTCACTGCAGACACTCCAGCTGACAGCAGCAGGGATTCATCTGCCCCCAAACCCCGCAGGAACACACGGGAATGAGCCTTGTGTTTGATCTGGCACAGTGCAGCACTGGAGAGTGGCGTGAGGCGTTCCTCCAGGGATGCAAATGCACTGCCACCAGCAGTGAAACCCAGCTTTGGGAAGCTGAACTGTAGATTATCCATCCCAGTAATCCCAGTGTGGCTACACAGGGTTGCACATGGGTCGAGGAATTGGAGTATTATGGTTTCTATGTTGGCATAAAAATGTTCAGGCATAAATATCATTACTCTGTTTCTGGCTGGCTTGAAAATTCCACTGCTCTCTCATAAATAGAGTGAGAGATGGCCCCGGTTGGTTTTGTGGGTTTGTTTTCCTGTTTTATTTAAACTACAGAAATCTGGTCTCGGTGCTGGAGCCAGCTGGAACAGCAGGACACTGCTCCTCCTTATAGTGCCTAATCTCACATTTTCTAGTTCATTGCAGTAAGATTTGATCCTGTCAACTGTTTTGGTCTGTCTCCTCAAGGAAGGGTCCCAGGTTACTTCAGCTGGTTACTGAAAGCTCCGTGTATCTCCTGGAGCAGGGATTGCAGCTGACATTTATAGCACGTGGAAATTCTCCTTAATAGGGATAAAGGAGAAAGTTTTCAGATAGGGAATTTCTTCAGAGATGTGTGTGTACAGGGAAATGGGTCCTGCTGAGAGCTCAGGACCTCCAAAACCACCACATGAATAAGCATTGTTCAGTCCAGTGTGCAAACTGTAAACAGAGGTAGTAAACAGATTTACAGAGAAGAAAACCTTTTGTACTTTCTGTATGGACTACTGCAGGACACTCACTCACCAGCTCTTCTGTCCTGCAGGCTTTGGATTTCCCACCATTGCTGGGTTTGCATATATGAAAATGTAAAATGATAGCATTTAATAAAATCCACAAACCGTTATCTCGTGTCTGTTTGTTTCCTGTCACTTCAAAGTATCTTTAGCTCTTCGTGGCTATTAAAATGCTGAAAAATACGAGGGTTTGTTTCATCCAGAACTGGGTTTGACCTTTTGGCAACATCCTACCCATCAGTTTGGTTTTCCTCATTTTGAAATTAAAATGGGCTCACCAGTGATTCTTTGTTTTTCTGGGATCCATGTGACTTCGGGAAAGCTTTGGCAGAGTCTGTTTGCTGAAAACCTCCAAAACTGGGCAGCTAGGACTGGCTGGAGTAACTGGAGTTCCTTCTCTGGCTGTTGGGTGGAGGTGCCTGCATTTCTGACACTGCCTGAACTCATCCCTCAGCTTGGCAGTCGAATTTCAGCTCCCTGCTCCTTGTTTGCAATGCATTGCCACGTGGATCCAGAGGGATTTAGAACTGGAGCCTCAGACCCAGGACTGGCTGTGCTGCTGGGGCTACCTGGGTGTACTGGTTAAAACGTGGGCTGGCCGTGGTGGGAAGAGGCTTTGTTGGATTTGTGCTGTGGGCCCGGGATGTGAGAGCCAGTTTGATTCCCAGTCTCGCTGGGTGCTGAGGGAAGCAGCTGCTCGAGATCTGTCAGCGTTGTCTGTGCTGCCATTGCCATGGCAACGGGAGCCGGCTCCACACAAATGGCACGGGCATTTTCAAAACAAACCCGAGCTGGTTTCTCACTCTCCTCAGTGCTGGGAGCCCGGGGGGCGCTGCACAGCCCGGCTGCAGACACAGCTGTGAGCCCACGACTCTGCACCTCCTGCTTGGAGAGGTGCTCCTTCATCATCTTGGTGGCCTGGACCCTCATCAGTAGCCCCTTCTCTTTCCTGAGCTGTGGAGCCCAGAAATAAACACAGTGCTCTAGGTGTAGCTGCACAAGGGTGAAGCAGAGTAAGCACTTGGATGGAAAGAGGAAAAAATAGAAAACATGGACTGCAAGAAAAAGAAAAGGCAGAGGAGGAGAAACATGAAGCAACCCACCTTCAGCACAGGAGCACAAGACAGGCTACTGTTGATGGGCAGGGAAGGGAAAAGCAGCTGAGGCTGTGTGTACAGAATGGTTTCATCACAACATGTCACAAGTAGCTCTCTGTTTAGGGGTCTCCCCAGGCTGTGCTGTAGGATGCTGCACTACTTTGGAGACAGTAGCACTGAGCTGGACTTCCACTTTTTACATGCGAAACTGGGGGAAATTCTTTTTGCCATTGACACTGGAAATAATAATAAACTGTCTTAAAAACCCATAACATAATTGTACAAGCATTGAACTTTATTTAAGAGGTTGGCTGAGCTGGCAAGGAGCAAACCTGACCCATTACTTCAGCCCAGCACCAGAGCACGGGGATGAGTTCAATCACCCTCACCAGGGCCATCAACCTGTGTCCACAGGAGCCCTTGGGGGAGCAGGGGGGACAATCCCCCTCATTCCCACCACTGCAGAGCAATGGAATCATCTCCACAGGATACAGAAAAGGGTCTGACTTACAGATCTGCTGGAGAAAACCAAACGGTGGGATGTGCTGGGTGTTCAGGATCAGGGCATGGAACTGGAAATGAACTGGAGTGGCTGGAGTGGGATGGACACTCTGGGACAGCACACCAGCACCCACAGTGTTCACCTGGGCTAGGGCTGGTCCTTCCATTGAGGGGCTGACACAGCTGCTGGAGACACGTCTCTCACTGACACACCCTCTTTAACACAAAGATTTCCTACAAGCTGCAAATTATTTGTATCACCTTTTAAGTCAAGCTATTAGTTGCACAACTTTTTTGGGATGTATGGAATTATTCAAGTCCTACTACAGATTTGCAGCTCTAGCTATGAGATGTGGTCACTGTACAGGAGTTCAGGGGGGTGTGGTGCTGGGCTGCAGTGAGGAAGGAGCAGTTAATGAACCATTCAGTTCCCAGTCCATCTGACATTCCATTCTCACTGCTGTACAAACCCCAGCACTCGGGAGCAGCAGCTCTGCCACACAGGTGGGACTGTAGAAAAGGAGTTCTTGGCTGTACATGGCTTCCACAGTGGCTTTGTTACATCAGGTACAAACTGTACAAGTTCTCCAGGTTCCAAGTGTTCTAAGTGGCAGAAACAGTTCAGCCTGCGTTTATAGACTGGGTTTAAGTGTAGAGATTATTACAGGTAAGGACCAGGCTGAGTAACCAGCTCCATGTAACAGCAAAGATGTGGGTTTAATACAACCTGCAACAGTACAAATATGTACATATGTACAGAGGGGGTCCTCTCCTCCTGCTGCTGAGCGCTCTCGGCACTTGATCCTCAGCTTCCCTGGAAGCAGGAAACACTGGAGTGAAACAGGTCCAGTTGTGCAGCACCTCAGGTTCCTGGGTTGAGCTCTCTGTGCCCGGGGCCTACAGGACCCCCTCGCTGAGGCGGGACTTGCTGTAGTCCCCCAGGTCATTCTGCAGGTCTCGCTCCTCGTCATCTGCAATTACAGATTGTCATTAGATCACAATTAAAATGCTCAGATCAGATCTGATGTGGTATCACTGAAAAAATACCGAAGTACAGTTCCCGGGACATGCTGCTAAAGGGCACAGCCCTGAGCTGGCCAGGGCTGGTGACGGGATGTGTCCAGCCCAGCTGTCAGTGCTCCAGGGGGATCTCCACCTCACAGACTGCCTGACTGCAGACCCTGCAGCACTGTCACACCAGCTGCTGGCTTGGAGACTGCCTACCAAGCTTTCAAACTCCACCACTAAACCCAGCTCTTGCTCAAAGTCCCACGCCCAGAGCTGACACCATTCACAGAGGGTGGGAAGCTCAGGGATCAGCACAGGGAAGTCACTGGCACCCCTTCCTTACCAGGGGCCTCCTTCCCTCAAAAAGTGAAAAACCCTACAACTTCCAGTTGTTCCAACTAATAAGCTTTTCCTGCACCTCAGAGCTATTCCTTTCTATCAGGAAAGACTCTTGTTCACAGCAAAGGAAATCCAAGTTGAGCTGCCTGGAACTCTCCACACCTTCACACCCAGCACCCCGGGAGCCAGGCAGGGGCCTGAGGGGCTGCCCCAGCAGCCAAAGGCAGGAGTTCACCTGCAGGACACAGGTTTGTTCAGTAAGAAAGTGCCACCACAGCACCTGGACGTCCTGGAGTTACTCCCCCTCCACCATCCAGCCACCACTAACAGACATTTTAGAAGCTGCCACCTTCAAACACCCCCTTGCCCTTCCGCAGGGGAGGAACCAGGCTGGGTGCTGCCCTGCCCCAAGAACATCCCCCAGTTTGGCCATTTCCCCTGGATAATTTCAATCTAAGCCTGCACATTCCTAGAGGCAGGAGAAACCATGTGGAATCCAGTGGCTTTGTGGCACATGCCACAGCTTTGTTCAGCCTGATGCAGACCCGGGCGATGTTTACCTGACAGTTTTTAGATAGAAATTCTTGTTCCTTTTTTCCCCTCCCTAAACAATTATAACCACCCTCCCTTCAACCCCCCCATTCTGGCCTCTCCTGCCCTGCAGACAAATCAGTATAAAGCCTGAAGCAGCCACTCTTTCTGGAATACTGCCCCTGGAAGCTCCACCAGCCACACTTAAATCACAGCTCAAGCCAACACGACAAGTTATTAAGGAACAACAGAACAAAGCTTGGGAAATGTGGTTTGAGGTAGCAACACATCTGCTCAGACCATCCCGCAGGAAGAAGCTTCCAGAAGTCACCCTTTAACCCTAACCACCAGCTCTTAATCCAGTCTGTCTATACAGAGACAAAGAGGGGTTCATCAGGAGAAGGACCTTTCCCAACTTCAAATCCCAAGCCACCAGAGCAGGGACCTTGCAGGGACCCCACCTGGAAGGGAAATGTTTGATGGGGTCATTGTCAGTCAGAGCTGTTTTTTCAAATACCACTCACACTGCAAGTTACACAAGCCCAGTCTCTGGGGTTTCACATTTTCCCACCACTTAGAGCTGCACCACGCCCACTCTTTCCCAAGTGGCACTGGGGAATGCTGCCCTTGTCACTGCAGCTGTTCATGGCACCCCTGCTGCCTGAGCTCCCCCGTGAAGGCCCCACAGCCAGGTACTCACACGGATGGAGCAGCACAGAGGGGCAATGAGAGCTCTGTGGGATGGGGACAGGGACAGGGACAGGGTGCTGCATCCCTGCACCGCGTGGCAGCCACCTACGGTCTGGCTCTGCTGCCAGAGAACAAGGGAAGGACAAGAGGAAACGGCCCCGGCCGTGCCAGGGGAAGGTCAGGCTGGATATTGGGAACATTTCTTCACAGCAAGGCTTGTCCAGAGCACCCAGGCTGAGCGAGGCAGATGGCACCAGCAGCACAGACTCAGCTGCAGTTACAAGCTCCAGAGCTGCATCCCGAAGCCCAGGTGAGGAACTACTGCAGCAAGGAGCTGGACCCACTGAGGGCTCGGGGACACACAGGAGACCCTGCACTCCCTGCCCACAGCAGCCCAGCACCATCAGGAGCATGGCTCCCATGGCCCCAGCACGGACAGGAAAGTGCCACAGGAAGGGACATTTGCTGCTGGACCAGGCTGCTCTGCATGCCCCTGTGCCCTTGTGCAGCTGCCAGCCCAGGGACCACCGGCCAGAGGGGCAGGTGTGACACCAAGCCCCCTACGAGTCCTGAGCACAAGGGGCACACATCAGGCTGCAGCTGGAGCAGCACTGCAGTTCATTAGCAAGTTAATCAATGGTCACAGGTTCTGGTCCATCCTATTCCTCTACTTGTGCACGAGTTTCAAACTGGCAGCCCAGCACAGCCTGCTGACACTGCACTTAGCTGCATGCTCACACAGTCAGCTGCTTTCTACTGGCTTTGCCCATTCATTTTGCTTAGATGCCAATTAAATACGGTGCCTGAAAAACCTCCAGCTAAAAACTTACTAACTTATATAACTTATAATATTATGAGGGTCAAAATCAAGGAACCTGTAGGGTTTTTGTCCCATTTCCTATTTTTTCCCCCTCTTTATTTTACACTTCCATTTAACTGGAAATAATCTCTATGTTTACCCAACATTCTCGCCCTACAGACATGCAGGTCTGTCCCAAGTATCCCCCGAGAGCTGGATGGAGAAGGCAGACAAGGCAGGCAGAGGCAAGCGAGGGAGGCGATGCAGGAGCTGCATGCAGGACAGGGAATGGCCATGCACACACAGGTGTTAGGCAGCACTGGATCAGGAGCTCTGGGGTGGGTTAGCAGAACACCACAAGCCTGTTGAATCTGTGTATAATGCACAAAAGTGACACCTGGAATCACCACCCGAGGCCTCACTGCTCACCAGCTCCAGGCAGGTGTGACAAGAGCAGGAGTTGAACCACTTCATTCCTCTATTTGACAATTTAGGAATGTCAAGGCCCAAAGCCCACCCAGCCAGGGGCCAGAGCTGGGGGTTTGGCTAAAACCATCTCTGGAATTTAGAGTTTTTCTTTTCCTAGCAGGAGCTATAGACAACTGCAGTAAGGTGCCAAAACCCTGTCTCTCAAGACTTGCATTGTTGCTGCCCCACAGAGAGTGAGACCAAATTTCAAGCTTGTTTGTTCTGTCTGAGCAATTTGCGATCAGCTAAACCAGAGAGGCTTTACACAAATTCAACAAGGAATTCAGCATGGGTTTATCACAATGGGATGGAGGTAAGGCCCAAGCTCACCTTGGACGTCTTCTTCTCCACCATCACCATCCTCTTCCTCATTGTAAGCCAGCTCAGCCTGTTTGTCTGCCTCATACTCACCCACGTTCCCATCATCCCCATTATAATCTGCCAGTTTAGAACCCTGCTGCGGGTCCACAGGGGATTCATTCTCATCAAAGAACCGGCCTGTGGAGTAGGAAAGGAGTGAGTCAGCAGCAGAGAGGAAAGAAACAGGGAGATCCTGCACCAGAGCAGATCGCAGGTGGAGGCAGTCGGGGTCTGGGCTAGATCCAGCTGGAGAGAAAGGGGGGAGAAGGGAGAGGGCTGGGGCAGGGGTTGAACAAGGAGCACCTCCATGCAGGTGACACCTCTGTGTCACCCTCGTGGCACCTGACTGTCCCACACTCCTCTCTGCACAGGAAGGGCTGAGTGAGCGCCCAAACAGCTCCACCTCGGATTGCCCACAGGCACCAAGACAAGATTCCTCAAAAAGCACAAGAGCACTCACTCTTGGAAGGGTCAGTACCCACTTCAGCTGAGGCCTGGCATTTTGCACACCCTGGAGCTGCCCTAGTGCCCGGCAGTGCCTGCAGAGGGTGCCCTGCTGGCACAGGAGGGAGCCCAGCACAGGCCTGCCCTCACTGCTCAGCTTGGAAACTCTAGCTGGCTTTACACTGCTTCCCTAGCAAGCTTTAACCGTTTCCAAAATGTCCCAAATCCAGTATTTCCATCTCTCAACAGAAAATTAAGAGTGGTTTCAGATCCTGAAACAATGCATGAGAAAAACAGGAATCAGCTGGAAATACGGAATGAGCAGGCAATCACCCAGGCACACATGAGAGATTACTGGTGTGATGTCAGCTCAGAGCTGGTGTTTAATGGGATACAGGGAGATCTCCTCCAGCCCAGTGCTGGAGGGAAGCAGCTCTGAGTCTGCAGAGCTCACTGGCCTGGAAGACTGTGTATAAATGGGAAAAATGGGATTAAAGTGTGATACAATTCTTACACACTGGGCACCAAGGCTGTCAGGGCAGGTGATGATTCCCAGTACAAGCAGCTAATGGAGAAGTAAAACTGGAGAATGATTTCAACATCAGGATTAAAAATGGACAGATATAGATGTAAAATTATCCCCTAAAACAATGTGTATACAAAAACCAGGACAGAAGCAGTACCATCCTGCTTCTCTGTATGGGGGAAAAGCAGCAGAATCACACCTAGCACAGCTCAAATGCCCAGGGTCACCAGTTTCAGGTAATTTCATAAAACAAGCAAGAAAAACACCCATGATCTGTTTAGAAATCCAAAGTTCCATACATTAATCATGCCTGTTCATGTCTAATGGAATGATTCCGTGGGTATTTTTGACACTGCATTATATACAAAACCCAGGCAGGACAGTGGGATTTGCACTGGTTAAACCCAAACTAAGACAAGGGCATGTACCCAACTTCCAGCAGAACCAGCCCATGGATAGCCAGAGACACTGTGACAAACAAGCACTGAATGGATTGAAGTTGACAGAAGGAAAGGTTGAAGTTGATGAAGAGATCCCAGGAAATGCAGCAGGCCCACAAAGGCTACAGACTGAGCTCAGGGAGCACAGTCAGTCTGGGGAGCCCACCCAGTGCCACCCTGCCATGGCAGGGACACCTCCTGCTGTCCCAGGGCGCTCCAGGCCCCGTCCAACCTGCCCTTGGACACCTCCAGGGATCCAGGGGTAGCCACAGCTGCTCTGGGAATTCCATCCCAGCCTTTGTGACCCTCAGAGGAAACAATCCCTTCCCAATCTGCCCTCCATCCCTGCCCTCTGGCAGTGGGAGCCATTCCCTGTGTCCTGTCCCTCCATCCCGTGTCCCAGTCCCTCTCCAGCTCTCCTGGAGCCCCTTTAGGAACTCTAAGGTCTCCCCAGACTCTTCTCTCCTCCAGGCTGAACAGTCCCACTCTGCACCCTCTGCCTCACAGCCCTCAGTCACCAACAGCAGCCAGGCCCCTGCCCACGTGAGAGCTGCAGAGCTGTGTCACAGCTGGGCTCCTCCATACCAGGGGTGAGTTTGTCACCAGTGGACCTCTCTGAACAGCCACTGACCATCAGGACAGACCCTTACACAAACCTGGAACAGCTATTTCCTTCCGTGATAAAGTCTCTCCCTCACTGCACCGTTAAAACCTACAACCAGAGTTATTCCAAATATGAAGGAGCAAAGGGAAGAGACTAACTGAGGACAATTCCTGACTCTCAGGTACGCCCTCACAGCCCACAGTGGAGACATTTCCTTCCCAGCTCCAACTACCCCCTATCATTTAATCTGTGACCAGGGAAGAGAGACAGCCCATTAACAAATTAGAAGCTTTCTCACTCCAGAAGTTTCTTCCAGAAGCTGCTTTGATAAAACAACAAGCCTTGCACACCTCAGGATACACAGAGTGGAAGCCAGGCCTGCCCAGGTTCTGTGACAATTTGTAATACACTTGTCCCTGCTCCATCACAAAGTTCTATGAGTGATATTGAAACAACCAAAGTTTTTTCACTTTTGACTGAATTCCTACGATGTTGTCCAAAAAGTGTACTGAAGTCAAGTAATAAAGTGAGTAACTCAGCATCCTGCATGTATCAAAGTTCTGACTTAACCAATTATCCATGCAGTAATTTCCAAAAACATCTTAAATTCCGATAAGGAAATAATTTTTTAAAATTAACTGAATGTACATGTGAAAAGTAACACATTAAAGCCTATGTTTTTTTCCAGGAACACATTATATTCCTTCTCAGGCTCCCTCTTCAAAGCCATCCTCTGCAATGGTCCCCTTTTTCCAGACAGGTACTTACACAGATAAAAAATGCAGGGATTTTTTTTCACATATTAAAGTGTGATATTGGCCAACTTACTTTGCTTAATCTTCTGCAAGTTGCTAACTCGGCTCTTTGGGATTTTTATCTGGTCTGGCTCAATCTTGTGCTCTTTCTGGGTTTCCACATTTTCTTCAAAATTCAAGTGCTGGAGAGAATTTGGAGGGATCTGCTTGGCAATGTCAGCGTTTCCATCACTGTCACTGGGCAAACCTGCAACGTTGGAATGGGAAGTTACACTCAGAATTTTAGCAGGACAGGACTGGAACAAGCCACCTGCAGTGCAGCCATCACCTGATATTCTCTGACCTTAAAGTGACTTGATCAGGCACAGGGTTCATTTTCTTTGGGTTTGTCTCTCTTCTAACTGCAATTCCTCCAAACCCTTTCACTGCAAGACTTCAAGTTCTCACATCCTAAACCTTCCCCATGCCACCTCAAGTGAGCTGCTCCCAGGGACAGGAGGACACTGGGCAGGTGACAGGAACATCTGATTGTGGCTACCAAGAGATCAACAACCAACCCTCAGGGGGTGGTGCAGCCCTAATTAGTACCCTAAGGAGGAACACTCATTGAAATTTCTCTGTCCACTTGAAGCATTTATCTTTCAAGCTTCTAACTCTAATTTAGTTGTCATTGGTCAAAAGGGTCAGAAATTATTGGTTTAGAGGGTACAAGAAGAGATCATACAATAGCAGCCCAAGTGCCTCAGCCAGGTAAAAATGCAGCCTTGGATCCTACAGGAATTTATCCCTGGTTTTCTTCTTGTAACCAAAATGTTGCCTCGTCACCTGCTAACAGGAATGTTACCTGGTGCCAGGTTTGGAGCATGGGGCTGTTCGGTTGGAAGATTGATAACAGGCTGATGACCTTCACTTTTAGGAGCTGAAATAAGTGGCCTCTTTAAAGCTAAAACAGAACACAGGGACAAAAGCATTAACATGAAACAAACACACTATTTACCTGGTCTTGCTCTAACAATCCTGTAAACTCCTGGTTTTTTTATCATTTCCTTAATGAAAATATAAAAGGTAAGATTCCAGGAGGGCCATTATCCAAAACATTCCATTCTGAGAATTCAAACCTCTAAGGCACAGTAGAAATGATCTGACTTTACATTCCACTTGAATTTTATTACCACAGAGAGATTTTAAAAGTCTGCACTCACTGTGAAACACATGGTGTTCACACACAACATCTACACCACCAAGACCCAAATGTGAAAGAATGAAGAGTATTTCTCCTAACCAGTGGGAGTATCTTCAGCTTTAGCAGGGTCATTATCTTCTATTTCAGGCATGCCTGCATCTCCTCCTGCTTTGATTTTCTCTGCAAGACAAGAAAAGGATATTCTGCCTTACTAACCCTTCAGCCTGAACTGTGAATTTCCCTCTTGTGGAAGGCTCTAATTTAGAACAATCAGTGCAGCTAATCAATGTACCTGAGCCAAACAATTCCTTCTTCTGCTTCAGAGAAATGCACAGTCTGGAGGCTGGCAAAGGATGCAACCCAACTGGCCCATTCTCTACCACAAATGCCCAAAAAAGAAAATACCTTTGCCATTTGCAACGTGTTCTGAAGGCTCCTCATTCTTCACTATGTCTTTATCTTCCACCCCTCCAACAGTCTCAGGTATTGCCTGGTCACCATTGCTGGGGCTGACTGCAGTGTCTTTACTAGACTGAATTTTTTGTGTGGCCTGTTAGAAAAAATAAGGAGACAACATTAAACACTTCCCTGGAAATTACAAAATAAACATCCTCAAATTCGAGCTTACTTTGGGTCAGCAGAACTGCATTTATGAATTCAGTGATCACCAAAGCAAAGAGCAGAGCACTCTATGCACAAAGCTGTCCCTGGGGACCTGGAAACACAACTGGACAGAAAATGTTCAGCACAGCACAGCTGCAGGACATTTCTACTGCCATACACGGGTGTTAAGCACAACAAGAACAGGTTAAGGTAAGCCTTAAGCCTCAGGTCAGAGCCTTGAAACAATTCTGGACTGTAAGAAAAGATGTGACAAACTTGCTCTCGGTCTGCCCTATTACTTGAGATGTTCATAGATGAAGTAAGGAAACAAAATTTAAGCATCTGTTTGCAGGAAAGAGGCCCAAATTCTACTGGCAGCCTGCTTGATGTAATCACACCCTTGATACCATTCCAGTACCATCACAATTTGCATCACATTAGCACCTCAGGCCTCAGCAGAGCTCAGGCTCCCTCTGCAGTAACGTGGGTAAGGCTGTGAGAACACAGATCCCACCCTGGAGAGCTCAACAGAGATATCCATGTTACAGGCAACAACTGAAATCCTCAGCAATGACATCATGGAGCAAGGCTGGAGCACAGCAAAGAATTTGGCCTCAGCTTCCAGCTCAGTCCACTGAGTGAGACAGTAGGCAGATTTCTTACACTAACACTCACTTAGGGCTGCTCAGGGGGATCCTGAACACAAATTTAGGGAAGAAATGTCCCAGGCCTCGACATCTCTGAGGCAAACAGCAGGCTTTGGGCTCTTCTCGTTCAACACAAACTTTTTTGGTATTACCTTTTGTTCCCGAGCAATTTGGTCCATTAATTTCTTGATATTCTCTTCATGCTGCAGTCTCATTTCCTTGATCTGCTGCCCACACTGCAAGCTTGAGGAGAAACACACCATTAGTTACACTTCATTTGTTGGATCTGCTCTCCCACAAATAAAATAAGGGGAAAAATATGAAGTGGCACAGAAAGCCAGACCTGAGATATAACCAGAATAGTCTGTCCAAGAAGTCTGTCCTGGCATGTATATGGGGTGGGACTTAATACAGTAAGAAAGCAGAGCTGGAAAAAAAATAGGCACAGAGCCGAAAAACCAGTAAAATGAAGAGAATGGCCTTGAATATACTTCCTCCAGAAGCTGGAATGCAACCAAAAGGTCAAGCTGCACAGTTAATCTGTCCACAAATATTAATTCTGCTGGGAAAGTAATGTGTCTCTCCTGGCTGTCAACAGAGAAGGTGCACGAGTGCCACTATCAGTTACTGCTCCCAACTCAAATAACACCATCTGAATACACAGCCAGCTGCCCCACAAGCCACGACATCAGCCCAATCACCAAAACTCCCATGTCCCACAAACTCTCAGCACAGTACAGAACTTTATGTATGTAAAAGTTTCAAACACTTTCTCAAGTCTTCCTCACTCCTCAAAGCAGGAGTATTTGTTCTCCCTGTTTCTCTATCATCAGCTGAAAGGGCTGAAGTCAACTTAAAATTTTAATCTACACAAGGTGCTTTCAGCTGAAACAAACGAAACTACACCGCTAGAAAGGGAGCAATTAGCAATGCTGGTGACACAGGACTTGTCCTTTAGACTCCTTCATGTGTTAATGAGCTAAATCTCCATGTTATAAAAAATACATTGACTTAAAAATGCAAAACAATTCCACTAAGTCAAGATTTTCCTTAGCTCCTATCTCACGCTGGGAGAAGGACTACAACACCACAAAGAACTTGAAAGTCAAACAGTTAGCTCAGGTGCATCACCAAGTGAGCACGCTCGCGTTTGACAATCAGCAGACACGAGATTAATTAGCACTTTTTAGTAAATCCAGGTCCCCCTCACACACACCAGCGTGCAGCTACCACCACTCCTGAGGACATACCTGTCATACTCCAGCCTCCTCGTCAGGTACGTGTTGTTCTTCTTGTACTCGTGCAGCTGATCTTCCTGGCGGATGAACTCCTGCCGCAACTCTGCCAGTTGTTCTGGGCAAAAGAGCACAACCAGCATGAATACAGAAAGGTAAGAAAAAATGCCCCATGGCAGACACAATTTCCAATATTGCTAAGTAAGAAATTGCTCAACTTCCGTGCCTAGACATACTTTAAAGATTCTTAAACCGATTTGAAGAAGATGCCACTTTACTCACGCATGCCAGATGGCAGCATGAGTTAGAGACAAATTCCTCTGACACCATGCCAATCTCCCTAAGTGTTTCTGCACCTTAGCACTCAGAAACCTTGCACAACGCTGTATCACTTATCTGCTGGAAATGTCCGTAACTTCCTGAACAGTTCTGTCACTCTGAGTAACATGGAAGTGCTGCCAGCTTACTCCAGGCAGGATGCTCAAACACTGTTTGTGGCAGTGAGTGTACAAAAGGAGGCACCTTCCCGCTAACCGTGAAGCCAGCACGGATTTCCTGTCTTCACAATGCTCTAGAAGTTCTCCCTGCTCCTCAGGCTAGGAATAATGAAGCTCTGTACTATTTTAAGCTGCAGCTACACAGATACAGGCAGAGCCCATGTGTGTTGTGTGCAGGCATGTTCAGATCTCATCACGTTCTGGCTCGCTCTGAATACAGCAACACCCCAGGCATTATAATCATGTCTGTACAGAACTGCAAATATGCATCCTGGACCTTTTCTAACTCAGCAGTGTTTCTGATCAAACTCTACTAAACTCATGTTTGGCCATGGAAATGATCCTACTGTCTTGTAACTCAGCAGTGCCAGAACACACATCCTTTCTGCAGCAAAGTGAGAGCCAGCTCTGCACCTACCCACACCAGGTAACAAACACAATGAGATTTTACATGATGAGAAACGTGGAATTATGAGTTCCAGCATCACCACATCCTTCATTTATACTGCATTCTGCAGCACCTGGGCAGTTAAAATGCACAGCTTCAGCCTGCCAAATGAGCTGGCCATGAATCCCTCACCCTTTAGCCGATGTATGTCTGCCATCTGATACGAGATGTTGTTCTGCAGCTTCATCTGGAAGGAAGAAAAGGTTGGATCAATACAGGTGATAAATACAGCAGGTTGGGGAGGGTTTGGGCTGTGAACACTCAGGTGTGTCTGTTTGCTTGGTGAAGCCAACATATGGAGAGGATTATCAGAGTGACGTGCACTAAGTTCCTGTAAATCTAAGAAATGTGTATTTAGTGAGTTTAAGTGACATCACCAAACTAAACATTGTGTTCAGCCTTTGCTAACAAAGGCTTAAATTTTAATTCCAGAACATATTTATATCAAAAAACTAGATTGTCTCGACTAAAATAAACATGCTGCATCCTGATATTGCAAGAGGGACAGTAAACAGCCAATGTCAAAGCACAGGTAGATAAAAATAAATACAGCATCAACAGCAAAACCAATTGTTACCTAAGATATATGATACAATAGAATTGCTATATTTAAATAGATCTTTTATGTGTTGCTATCTAACATCCTAACACACATTTTATTTTGAGAGGGAATCTCACACCAGTAAACAACAACAGCTTTTAATTTGGCATTTTTAGTAAGGAAAAAAAATAGTTACAATAAGTAAGAAATGTACACAAAGTCCTGAAGTAAAGATGCTTTGTTTTGTCATTACATAAAGAAAAAAAAAAAAAAACCAGCAGGAACTAACAGAAAGATTAAGGTGTGGAATATTCTGCAAAAGCAGGTAAAAATCCCTGCCTGCCCTCAGGCTGTGGCTGTTCTTCTTGCAGTTTCACAGTGATACAAAGGGTAACTGCAGGAAGGTGCTGAGCAGGGCTGTCACGCGTGGGTGACAAGGTCAGCATCACCTCTGGGAACAGCACACTGCAGTGCCAGCACAGCCACTCAGCCAGGACATGGTGGGACATACACGGGGACACACCTGGACACAGGGGCTGTTTCAGTTCCCCCCATAGTCCCTGAAGTGTCTGTGTCAGTCACACCTCTGTTTCCTGCCAAAAAACCCCAAAACACCACTGCCCTGCCTTTAGGACTTCCTCCCTGCACCTGAGCCTTCCCTTTTATCAAATTCTTCATTCTTTAAATGTATTTCCCACCGTGGTTTTGTGTTACAAGAGGCACTGTGAGCAGGCTGATCCCTTTGTCCCGTTGGGTATGATCAGGCATTCCTGCCTTGGCACTCCAGCCGTGCAGGAACTGCAGAGATGGTGCTTTCCTGCAGCACAGGGCATCCCACAGCTCCGGGCACACAGCAGAGCTTCCTTGGGCAGCAGAGCTTCTGTGCCAGCCTGCAGGATCCTGAAGAAGGGCACATGGAGCACAGGCAAATCCTGACCCATGCCCAAAACAAAAGCCAAGAGGTTCTAGGGCCTGGAGAGGCACCACCACAGCTCCCACCTATGGCAGGACACAGCGCCACTTCACAAGGCTTCTCCCAAAAAAAAAAAAAAAAAAAAAAGCAAGCAGAACTCTCAAATTCTAGGGACAGAGCAGAAAAACCAGTAAAATAAACAAAATGGCCTTGAACATATTTCTTCCAAACCCTGAAACATAACCAAAAAGTCCAGCTCCACAGGTAATGTGTCAGCATTTATCAATTCCACCAGGAACGTGATCTTTAGGTAACCTGAGCCCTCTGACCACAGTGCTCTGAAAGAGGGACAAAATTACTCCCCACAGGGATACTCAAGGAGCCTCCTGGCACGTCAGAGCCACGTTTGTCTCATGCTCTGCCCACCGAGGCATTCAAGGCCCCCTTACAGGATGCACAAAGCAACATCTCATCAGGGCCAGCCTGGGTAGGACTTGTAGAGCTTCACTTCAAATGCACAACTGGCCCTGCAGTGGGGACACTCAGGGAAGGGGACACACAGGGAAGGGGACACTCAGGGAAGCAGAAGACACAAGTCACCACCACAAGTCACTCTCCATGCACTGGGCACCCACCATGCCAGCTCCCCCTCCAACAGGGGACAGGGGAGCAGGTACACCCAGAGATTTGTTGGGTGAGTGAACAAGTATCTCCCCCTCTTGCAAAACTACAGGCAACAATCGTATTTTCCTATATTCCACTCTGATGCAGGTGTTCCCCAGAACCCAATAAATCTATGAACAAAGGAGATCCTGGGAAGTAGCGGGGTCTTTTTTCAGATCTATGAGAATTCCTCACACACAAACCCTTCCCACTGGCTCTTGCTTATCCCATAACCATGTGCCTGGCTGGGGGAGCTGCTGTCTGTGAGCAGGAGCTGCATGGCAATGTGCAGCACTTTTATCACACAATCTTTCCTTTTGGTGATTTTGAGTTTCAGAGAGAAGTGACAGAATTTATATCCAAACCAGCTCAGCTGACAGCAAATGTCCCTCATCTGAAGGACAGAAAAGGAGGAAGCTTTTTTATGATTCATGGGATCTGTTCCACCTACACATGCAAAACCCACAATCCATGAGCCATGGCACAGGTCCAGCTCTTCCTGGGCCCTGTCCTCCTTCGGTCTAGACCTGTTTGTATTGCTGAGCTCTCAGGGCCTTTCCAAGCACTTGGGATGGAGAAAATAAACCCTCTGCAGCCCAATGAGCCCTGCACAGGAAAAAAACCCACCAGAAATCCTATGCATGGTCATGTGGCAACCCTCCAGCGAATCCTGACTTGTGAATCTTGCCATGTAACAACTCCACGTTGCTGCTGTCAAGCTACAGCTTTGCAAACTGAGGAGTTACCACGTTTTGGCAACAAAGAACAGAGCCAGCTGCTGCTGGGGATGTTTGACTGAGCAGTTCATCCCGAGCACTTCTGGGCAGCAGGTGAGGGCAGGGCAGTGTTCCACAGCTGGCAGGGCCAGCAGCAGGTATGGAATGAGAGGTGCTCCTGCCAGTCCCACGTTTCACTGCGCTCACGGCAAACGGATGCGCTAAGCCGTGGAAAAACCCCAAAACCCAAGGGCATGCTGCCAAAAACCCACGGAATACTCAGGGAGCTGGTGCTACCTGTGCATGCAGCACCTGCCCAAACTCCAAGGTAGGCATTACCCCTGCTTGCCTCTCACAGGGCGCTTCGTAAGAGAACTCCTTGTTTGTTCCAAGGTCCAACAGACCCTCAGGAGCTCACGGCAGGAGGGGAGAATTCCCAAGAATTCATGTTTTCCTGTTTCTTTTTAAACACAAGACACTGGGTCACACTCGCGTAGTTGCTCCCAAAAGCAAACAACACCCTGGTGCAGTGTGACTGGCTCGTTCCACAAGCAGGGGACAGAGGGGAGAGCCAAGGCTTTGGCCTTGACTCCAGAAATCCCTGAGCCAAGAGGAGGCTGCTGCAGAAACTGGAGTTGCCTCAGCACTGGGAAAGGAACTTGATTTATGTGACCACAAGGCAAAGAACCTCAGCTGAGGACAAAGGAGCACAAAGCAGAACTGACACTGAGACTCTTCAAATGAGTTTTCCTTAAAATGAGACTGAATTTGCTGAACTTGATACCAGTGTTGGGGTTTTATTTCAGCTCCTGCATTTCACAAACAGACTAAGATCACAGGTAAGGAGCAGTTTGGTCAGACAGATTTGTCAAATTCTATTTTGAGAGGAAAAAAATTATCATTCAAGTCTTTTTTGGTCAGACACTTTATGTCTGCTACTGTTTCCTTGTGACAGACTTTTATTCCCTAAAACAAAGCTTCATTCTCTACTCTCAGAGAAGCAGTGGTCCTTAAAAGGAGTCACTTAAAGGGTTTTAGAAAAAAAATAAACATTGTTGCCACTGAGAAAAGACAGTGGCTTACACGGGAGGAAAAAAGGCCAGCCACTGGCTTTTGATAAAATCCTGCTCTTCTGGCCTCTCAGGGCACTCTGAACATTTTGAACACAAGAGAGAGGATGTTCAAAAGCTACGAGCTCACACGGCCTTAAGTGGCAGCTTCTGGAACAAAGGAGGAAGGCACACCGCACACACCACAGGCAATTAACACTAAATTTGATTTGGGAGGTTTACTGGGCAGGCTTGTCTTGCTGCCCTCTGGCTCTGCCCGGTGCAGTGTCACACTCAGAGTGTCCAAAGGCCAGGCAGATGGCAGGGAACAGCAGAGGGGTGGGCAGGCAGGGGCAGCCAGCAGCAGCTCCAGTAACCAGTGCTGCACCGCCCAGCTCAGAGCTACATCTCCTCCCGCAGCGTCCTACAGGAACACACCACAGATTTCCAAAAGAATACCAGTTCCTTGCATTAACAGCACCCCTTGTCATGGAGCCCAGGAACTGATCCCAGAATCCCTGAGGCTGGAAAAGCCCTCCCAGACCATCCAGCCCAACTTGTGCCTGATCCCCACCTTGTCACTGCCCAGAGCACTGAGTGCCACATCCAGGAATTCCCTGGACAACACCCCCAGGGATGGGCACTCCAACCCTCCCTGGGCAGTTCCAGTGCCTGAGCAGCCCTTCCAGGAAGAAATCCTTCCTCACCTGTGCCTGACAGCTTACCTGAATCCTGCCAGGGGAGTTTTACACCCACAGGCACTGACACTAACACACCAAAGCAGCTGACTGCCCTTCTGCAGACAGAAGGGGAAGTATCTTGGCTAAACCCCAACTGCTTTAGAATCCCTGAATCACTGAGGCTGGAAAACACCTTTAAGATCATGGAGTCCATATCATATCCAATTGGAATTTTTATTGCAGTCTAAGAAGAGACAGAAATTAAAAAGATGTTTGCTGAACACACAAAGGGCTTAATTTTAATGGTTCAGTAGGAAACATTAATACAAACTTAATCAGTTTGAGGGAATCTAACTCTGGAATGTGACGTGTACATATTCAGCTTTTTCTGTGACAACTCAATGCATTTTCTGAGGCTGCTCATCCAGTGTGCAATAAGAAAGGGCCAGAAAAACAAACCTAGCCAGAATAAACCTAGAGAGTGTGGCATTTCCATAAATCCCGCTGTGAGAACAGTTCAATGTTCAATGAGCAGAGAGATGACCTGCATGCAAATACATCCCACATGCCCCCCGAGCAGGACTTGCGTGCTGAGCCCCGTGAACTTCCCACTTCAGGAAGCACAACAGCGAAAGTTGAACCATTCACTCATATTCCACAACAAAAGAAATCCCCAGGCCACCCCCACTGAAAGGGCCAGCTGAATTTTCAATGAGCTTGGCTTCTCCAAGCCAAGGAAAATGACACGTTAGTCAGCAGCGGGGTTGTTTGAGTTTTTTTCGCTCAAGTACACGCTGGCAGCATAAAAATCAGAGTGTGCTGTACCAGGCATTCCAAGAGGCAAGCTCAGGGTGCTACTGAACACCACACTGGTTTAATTTCCCTTGAAACTGTAGGTTTTTTATCTGGTTTCTTGAACAATCACAAAAGATCAAATATTCTCAGCAGAGACAGCTAAAAAGCAGTAAGTAAATTTGAAACAGCCACCTGGAAAGGAGCGATCTCTCGGGATTTTCATTGTTCACACACACACACACACACACTGGACATCTTCAGCTCTTTTTGGGGACGTTTTCAGTAAACAGAGAGCGCTGCAGTTGTCCCAGCAGCACCAAACCTGAGCCTCGGGGGGCTGCGGGGACACCTCGGGCAGGCGAGCACAGGCAGTGCCCCGGGCTGAGCCGCCCCGCGGGGCACGGGACCCCCCGCCGCCCGCTGCCCTTACCTTGCCGTCCTCGCACCTCTTCACCTGGCCGTCCCTGGCCTGCAGCTGGCTGCTCAGGTGGCTGTAGTCCGCCTCCTTCTGCTCCAGCTGCTTCCTGTGCGAGTCCACCTTGCCCAGCAGGTCCGAGTTGCGCCGCTCCAGGCGGCCCCGCGCCACCTCGGTGCGCTGGGCCTGGCTCTGCAGCTCGGCCAGCTCCTCCCGCAGCAGGGCCTGCCGCGACGCCGCGTTCCAGCAGTGGAAGGCGAGCACGGCGATCACGGCCAGCAGCGCCACGAGCACCAGCGAGGGCAGGCGGCCGCCCCGGCGGTTCGCCCCGAACCCCACCATGGGGGAGGCCGAGGGCGGCGGCTTCAGGCGCAGCGGGGAAGGCGCTCAGGGGGCCCTGAGCGTGCGGGGGGATGTGAGGGGAAGGGGGTAATCCTGAGGGGGGGGAAGAGGGAATGACCCGGGGGGAACTGGGGGGTCCGCGGGGAGGGGGGGATGAGGTGGGGGAGCTGAGAGAAGGGAAGAGGCCCTGAGGGCAGCGGGGTAGGGGAGGAGGGAGAGAACGGCGGCAGGGAAGAGCTCGAGGCAGCGGGCGGTGTCCGGCAGAGCTAGGGCCGTGCCGGTGCCGGTCCCAGCCCCAGCCGAGCCGCCGCCGGGCCGTGAGGGACCCCCTCGCGGCTCTCGCGAGAGGAGCCCGCGGAGCGATCGCGAGAGCCGGGTCCCGCCTGCCCTGAGGTGGCGGGTGGCAGCGCTGCGCGGAGCGGTCGCCTTAAGGGACATTAAAAACGTCGCCGTGTCACACCGTGCCCTGCGCGGGGAAACGCTTCGCAGTCACCATCCAACCTGGCCTTGAACACTGCCAGGGATCCAGGGGCAGCCACAGCTGCTCTGGGCACCCTGTGCCAGGGCCTGCCCACCCTCCCAGGGGTCCAGCTGCCCTCCATCCCTGCCCTCTGGCAGCGGGAATCCTTTCTGTCGTGTCCTGTCCCTCCAGGGTCTTGTCCCCAGTCTCTTTCCGGCTCTCTTGGAGTCCCTTTAGGCGCTGGAAGGGCTCTGAGGTCTCCGGACCCTTCTCCCGGTGACTCCCCCGCTCTGCCAGCCTGGCTCCAGGGCAGGGAACACTGCGGCAGGAGCGTCACCGGCTTCTCAGCCCCACAGCCGAGAGGAGCTTCCTGAGGGAACAGGGCCTGTCCTCGGAGTGAAGAGAGGGTGTGGATCATTCGTTTTATAAGAAACACTCAGATAATGCGTTTACTCCTGCGCAGGTTCCCTCACACCCTGTTAATGTGCCGCTGGTGCGCTCACGGGAAAACGGGACACAGAGCTGGGCTGGAACATGGAACCAGCTCTGGCCGTGACTGCAGCCGCTCCCTCGGGGTGAGGGGAGAGATCCCAGCAAAGGCAGGGTGCGGTGTGAGGGGAGAGAGAGATCCGAGAAAAGTCAGGGCTTGGTGTGAGGGGAGAGAAATCCCAGCAAAGGCAGGGTTTGGTGTGATGGGCGAGAAATCCCAGCAAAGTCAGGGTGTGGTGTGACGGGAGAGAGATCCCAGCAAAGACAGGGTGTGGTGTGAGGGGAGAGAGAAATCCGAGAAAAGGCAGGGGTTGGTGTGATGGGAGAGAAACCCCAGCAAAGACAGGGTTTGGTGTGATGAGAGAGAGATCCCAGCAAAGGCAGGGTGCGGTGTGAGGGGAGAGAGAGATCCGAGAAAAGTCAGGGTTTGGTATGATGGGAGAGAAATCCCAGCAAAGACAGGGTTTGGTGTGATGAGAGAGAGATCCCAGCAAAGACAGGGTTTGGTGTGAGGGGAGAGAGATCCCAGCAAAGACAGGGTTTGGTGTGAGGGGAGAGAGAAATCCTAGAAAAGTCAGGGTTTGGTGTGATGGGAGAGAGATCCCAGCAAAGACAGGGCTTGGTGTGATGGGAGAGAGATCCCAGCGATGTGAAGTGTGTACGTGTTCACCCACACAGACTTTGGGCTTGGCTTTGCTCCCTGCGATGGGATTTAGTAACAGCTCTCTGAACTGCTGTGACCAAGCACCTCGGGCAGCAGAAGTTCACAGTGCACTTGTGGGCACAATCCCAGTGCCTCCAGCTGCAAATGGTGTGGGAGAAACAGAAGGGGATCAGTTTTCTCCTTGAAAGGAGCAAAAAGAACAATATTTAAGAAATAAAATATAAAATACCTTCGTGAGACACAGCATACATTGTGCAGAACTGTCAGCTGTGACAATGGTGTCACAGCTTTCTCCATCCCACCTGATTCCATACTTTATATACCGATATTTGCACTTTGGCAATTTAATTGCTGCTACGCTGATGGCCCATTAACTTGCCAGCCTACTCTCTGCAGATGGCAGTGCAGATTCACATTCCAAATCCAGCGCTGCAAATTTTTCCTCCTTGTGAAGCTGGATGGTTGCAGGGTTTAAGTCTGCCCTGTTCAGCTTGTTCCTTCTGGCTGCACTTACTCTGTGCCAGCCTGGCCGCTGCGAGCCAGGAAATGTTTGTCTAAATAATGAAATACAATATAAATGTGACAGATTTGAGCTCAGAACCATACCTGGGTTTATTTTATTTAATCTAGACTTTGGTTTTATACTAAGTGTAAGAGTCAGCTCAAAAATCTCTCCACGTGGCGCTCAGGTGCTGGCCCCTCTCCTATTTCAGCTCTTCCTGTTGGAATTTGTTTGATTTCCCAGATCCTCAGAGTTCAAGGTCAGAACTTGCCCCTGCACAATTTTTTTGTGGTTTCCTTTGCATATCTGGGAACTGAAGCAATACCGGGGAGTTTTCTTTTTCCAATTAATTTGCCATTTAATTTTATCTGTGTTCCGCGCGCTGTGATCCCGTCCCAGTCTGTTCTTTTCCTGGCTGGAAAGGTGTTCCTGCTGCCTCTCCCTGGCTGTAACCTTACACTGTGTGTTGGAATGATGTATCCCATGGCATGTCCAGCTCAGCCTCTGACAAGATCTTGGCTGATCCTTGGCTGCTCTGCCCACGACCTGGTGTGAATGGGGACATCACTCCCCGGGCACTCGAGGTGTTGCATCCTGAAACAGGGCAAGGACAAGAACTCGGCCTAAATCCCTGTGCTTGTCATGGAGAAAGTGAAGGATCCAAAGAAGACAATTTATTTGATGTTGTATCAAAACCTTCCAGATCTTTCCATGTGTCTTTTCCATTTGTCTGCCGCTGACCAGATTAATATACACAAAGGTTATTTAACAAAATAGTGATAAAACAGCAAACTCTTATATCCACTAATGTAATCAAGAAGTAACCCAGCCAGCATTTATAGGCTTTTCTTCTATGTCACAGAGAAGAAAAACTGATATAATTGAATGACTTTTCTATTAGCATTACCAGGGTGTCATAAAAATGTGCAGAAGTTTGATAATATAAAATTACAGTGGTTCTGGAAGATGTTAACATTTTCCAAGGAAGAATGCTCAGGACTGGTGGTGAGGTGTGTAAGCAGGACCATGAGAGCCCTTATCAGCAGAGAAAACATGCAAAAGAACTTCAAAAACTGCTGCTTCAACCCTTGTACTGTTACAGCCCAGGACAGGGCATCCTCCTGCCTTGGTTGTGCTGATGAAATCCATCACATACATTTGATTTTCTCCTTCAGACATTCCGCTTTGCAAAGGAATTGCTGATTATTTGCTTCCTTTTTTTTTTTTTTTTCTTTTTTCCTGCTGTGAGGTTGGAAAGTTTAGGAGCCCCACATGTGGTATTTTTAGAACCAGTGTTGCATTGTTACTGCCATGGCACTTTTATCAGTTAAAGCAATAAAAAATCCGAGGTGTTGTTCCAGCCAAGTATTTTGGTCCCTTCAGAATCCAGAGCAGGTTTTAAAATGAAAGATACATTTAGCCATATTTATTTTTTGTGCATAATTTAACTCAAAGATAAGAAGGCAGTCTGATTTAATAATCTAGTCAGCATTACAGAAAATTGGTGATTTTAAAAGCCTCTGATTAAAGATTCTAGGATTCAGTTTCCTTCCACTGTAGCAGAATAAACCTTTTTTAAATCCATTACAAGTTCGTGTTTTTTTACAAACATTCTGAACACAGAACTCAAATTAGCCCAGACTTTTAGCATATCCTTAAAAACTGATTAACATACTCCATCTGTTGGTATGCCAAGCAACTGTCCAAATGAGCAGCATTTCCATGGAGATTTGTAAAACTCCGGTTAAAGTAGGAAAACAGCTCTAGCAGGGGGATGGCATTGGAGGGGTTTTACTGGAATGTGGTTGTTGCACTCGCAGGTGAGGTCGATGCTTAAAGTGCCAGTGTTCAGGACCTCCTCACCCCAGAGCTGTGTCTGGGAACGCTTTGGGTGCTCACTTGCAGGAACAATGGTAAAAATAATTCCTTTCCATTTCAGCGCTTTTGATGAGTACCCAGTGGCTCTCAGTGCTCTGAGGGCATCCCTCTCCCATCTCTAATAAAGTGTAACTTGGGCTGCAGAAGCCAGGTGAGGCCTGTTGGCTTCTCAGGAAAGTGTTTGCTGTATCTCTGAAATGTTTGCCATCTCTGAAGTGGCATTTGAGCAGCTGGAGAAGGACTTGAATGGAATCAGAGCTGGGGTTTGGAGCTGAAACGGGGTTGTGTTTATTTACGGGCACCTGAGGGTTGGAAATCTTTGTGAGAATAAGTGCTTTGGAGTGAGGTATCAGAATCAATCTCCTGGAACATGTTGCTTTATGAAAACAAACCCAGGAACATCTGGGATTGGCTCACCAAATGGCAGCCCAAAGAGCAGACCTGTGTCCAGGGAATTGTGATTGCCTTGAAGCTGCATCCCAGGCCGGGAGCAGGGAGCACATCTGTTCCTGGGAAGCAGCTGGGGAGGCTCAGTGCAGTCTGGCATTTTGGGAAAAGGTGCTTTCTCTCAATAGTATTCCAGAGAAGAAGGTTTGTTTTCATTTTTAGTAGCAGCTCCGAGGGGCTGGTGGAATTCCTGTAACTGCAAATGACATTTCCAGCAAGGATAAAGCCACAGCTGCTGGCAGGAGCTCCCATAGGTTATTGTGGATTATCACTGAAAAGGCAAAGCATTGATTTTGGAGTGATTCTTGCAGGGAAGCGTCTGTGAGGGAATGAAGAGTGAATGTTGCTCTGGGAATGGTTTTGTCTGAGATTCAGAGAGGAGCTGACAGCTCAGGACTCACGGAGCTCCTGGGGATGCAAACCGGGCTGGGAATGCCCAGAGTGGGCGTGGGGGGATCAAAATTCCCCTGTTCCCTCCAGCAGGAGTGGCTGCAGGAAGGGGAAGGCATTGCTGTGGATTTCCCTGGGAAGGGATGAGCTGCAGAGGAGCAGAGCTGCAGCCAGGTCCTCTGCAGCTGCTGAAGAAGGTGGCCTGGGGAACAAGAAGTGGGGCAAAAAGAAGAATATCCCTGGAGACGAGGTAGCTGTGGCCCTGGAGGGCGGCAGGAAGCTGTGGTGATTCCCTGCTCCTAGGAGGAAAGGTTGTGTGTGCTGGGAAGGAGCTCAGCCGGAGTGCAGACAAGTGTTTTAACACAGGGAGTTGAGGTTCTGCTGTCTCGTGTTGTGGTTTCACAAAACATCCACCTCAATTACTGTTGCTTTGTTGCTGGGGAGCGCAAGCAGAGGAGGAAAATAATAATTTAAATTTAACTCTGCTAAATAT